ATCCACCTCATCTTTTATGTCACCAATTCGTATGGCAACGTTGGTTCAATGGACGAGAATGCCATTGGCTGTGCCCAAATGGCCCATCCCCAGTCCCATACCTCTAGTGTTTCAAATCATCCATGGAAGTTCAAGCCACTTTTCCTCGTTTCTTGAAGCAAAACCTTTCCCAAAAGTGGAACATATTAACTTGCATCTTATTAAGAAGGAATTATATCCAGCAATACTCATTTAGGAAAAAATATCTAAAAACTTTTAAAAAAATACCAGTTAATCCCTACTAACAAATTATTTCCACTATTTAAGAGACACGAGTATTTATTTAGTCCTCTTGATGTTACCGGCGAAGCTCTCCTCCCGTGATGAATAAGCTGTGCTAGGTCAGTGGTATACCTTTACAAGGAAGGCACTTTTGGTAACCAACCCTTCGGGAGGAATAATGTCGAATTCGGCGCTCTTCTCCCACTTGTTATGCCTATGTTTCTCTAGAAAACGATGAATAAGGCAAACAGTATTGTACTTTTCCATCATATTTTGATGAACTGATAAAAAATTCCCATGTTGTTGACTTTTTTCCTTAGACAAAGAAGTTGTGCTTTCATTGGTCAATCCATTGTGAAGTTCAGTCGTACTTTGAAAACTAGAAAATTTACAAAACAAAACAGACACTGGGTAACTTAAACGATGCGCTAAAGGTGATTGTCAGGCTTCGAATCATGTTCAGTTAAGATGGAATTCAGCGTGGGGCCATCTCGACCTCTCTATGGATATCCCTAGTCTGTGATTTGGGAGGATGTGTGACTACGCCTAATTTCTCACGGATAGGTCTTTAGCAATGTATCCCATCTGCGGCCAAGCCCGTGTGCGTGTACGCCATCCTGAGGTAATATGAAACCATCCTCTGATCAAAAACGCCCACACGGCCATTCATACCTCTGTGTGTATATGTGTGTGCACACGGAGGGAGCTTCTTGTCCCACATTTCCTTGCCCCTCTTTATCACATCCATTAGGTCTTTTTGACGGCACCTTTTGCTAATATCTTCTACCAGAATGCCTGATTAGCTGATCAATGTAAGGAACAAGAAGTCCTTCCACTTTATTCTTTATATGAACAAGTGTTTTATTAAAAGGTTGACCTGTAAATTCCCCCCTCCCTCCCGGAATTCTTGTGTCAGACAATTGTAGTCTTCGGTGCAGTAGGTAAAATAGATAGCTGGAATTTACCGAAAGAAAAAAATTGTGGTTTAAGACCCAAATTGCACATCAGCCAGAAATAGGACCTGTTTGACAGAATATTTACTCTGTTTAAAAAAAACTTGTAATTTTATTTGAATTCAAGTCTTTGTGTGGGTAAATCGAAATTTGGGCGGTGGAGTGCTATTTTGAATGATAAATGCATTCGAGAATATCGACGGTAGGTTCAGAGTATTCTTGTATGAGTAATTTTATACTCATAAATAACCCACTGAGAAATTGATTAGAGTTTTTACTCCTCGACGCCATTTAATATTCCCGTGCCTGGCTTTTTGACTAAGTAATTGAGAACATAAGTAATAAAAACAATAAATATGACCATTTCTAACTTTCCATTTTTATACGAAAAATGGGACGAAATACAAGTATAACTCGACGTGAGCCAATCAGGCTGAGAAAATTTAGGCAATTTTTTTGTTTTATTCTTTAAATACACGAACAGCCGCTTTTTCCCCCTTTAAATATTAGAACTTGTAATCTGCGAAAGAAGTGTTTCCAAGAATTCCAGTAAGGCTATTTTCTGGACTCCAATGACGTCATGTTATCATAAATCTTGCTTACCTCAAGGCAATAAATCCTATCTGCGCACTTTTAAATATCTCAATTTGATGTGCTAGGTGTTAAAATAAGCCTTTAGCTTGACTCATTACCATAAAGTCAACTTCTTAGTGGTTTTCTACTCATTGCCATTTTGAAAACAGGATATGTATTATGAAGAAGTCGCTCCAGCGGGGAAAATTACTTCATTCATCGAGTTTTCCTTTGGCACCTTCAAGGATGCTCCCCAGAGGACTATGGAACCCTTCTACTATAGACCCTTTAGCCACTAGAAAGAGATCGTGGCAAAGTAGTAAAGATCCTGTAAAAACCTCGTGATTATTCTTGCCCCTTTATTGAGGAATGGGGTAGAAGAACACTGGGGGGTTTTTTGTCGGCAAAAACCAAGATTTTTTCTTTTGAAGGTACCGTTTCCTATAGCAAATTTTGTCTATCACTAGAAGGAAGGTTATGCATTTTAAACCGTCGACATGGCGTCATTCCCGCATCTTCTAAATGCACTACTTCCAGTTCCAACTTCATCCAAAAATGAGACTAGACCTGTTCTGAAACACACCTTCTACCACCATCGGCGTGTCGACACGATGACGAATTTCCCACAGACATCGGTGTGAAGCGGAAGTGTGTGTGTGGAACTACGAACGGCTATAAGCGACTGTGTTTGCCTTAAAATAACACTACATCCAACTGCGCGTACACAAGACAGCGACTACGTCTGGAGAGGCGACAGGGTACGTATGTAATGTCCTTCCCCTCCCCAGCTTAAACCCACCGCTGCCTTCCTCTCCCCCTATCTTCCTGCAGAAGAACGTATGTTCCATGACCATGGTTTATGATTTTTGTAAAGCTATCAATTTTAAACTGGCAAGCGGCCATAGGATACTGGGCTTACTACTATTACTACTGCTATCGCTGCCAGCGTAGGACCATGGTAATAGTGTCAATTTGTCATCTGAAAAATTAATGATCGTCGGGTACAAAAAAGGCCTGTGGCTTTTTTGAACGCCTTGTTTCCTGTTGCTAGGACAAAATGTGGAATTCGAATAGCGGATAGAGAAGACGAAGAGATTAGGGAGCGAGAAAGGAAGTGAGGGGGAGAAGATAAGAATTCAAATAAATTTCTCTTCACAATAAAGGCCTGTGCAGAATGCAAAAGTACGCTCCCTCAGCCCGAATAATGTGACATTTGCGCGAATTTGACTTACAAGGCAAATTGGTGTTTAAGGTTTCTTCAAGACTTTGGTGGCCGAAATGCATCCGCTAGCATCTAAATTACCGTATTTATCTCAACCTCAGTGAGTACAATCAATGGAAAATTTCTCAGCCGGATTACATTCAGCAGAGCCTAAATTTAGCGGGATCATCAATGAGTATTTTTGGCACTTCAATGACCAGCTTGTTGGAAGACATCAAATATTTTGCAGGAAAAATTCTTTGACCTTTGACATCAAAGTGTTCGCAGCACGAAATATCAATTTAACAGCTCTTTATCCTATTCAAGTGCTAGTTACTATTGTTCTGGTTGGTGCATAAGGAATAATTTGGTGTAATTTTTGCACTTAAACAGATTTTACCAAAATCATGTCTAGTGCAACTAGGAAATGTGCCTAGCGATCAAATCTACAGCGACCGGATTAGATACAGCTGTTGTCAAGACTGTCAAAATCACCGCACAAATTGATCTCCCGACTAACCACAAAGGAAAGCTGATTGCCTCATGAAATCTCCCACTAGATTGGCTTATTTTACAAGATGTGTTTGCTTAGCTTTTCTTTTCACTGTTTCACCTTGTATTGGGCACCATAAATACGCGGCTTTTTGTTACATGTTTCCTACCTAAATGTTGTTACCTGAAGTTGAGGATTGCGAGTTACTTGGATGACTTTGATGGTCAGAATATGAGAAAAAGTTGTTTTTGCCAAGGCCATGACAAAAGGAAGGTACGGAGGCGGATTTTTTTAGACAAAAGCCCGTTCAAACCCGTGAATCTCGAGGCAGCCAGTTTGCCTTTGAATAAGGCTCTCGCCTTCAGTAGGCCCTGCTGTTTTTACGTTGGGAGGGGGGAGGCCAAGCGGGAGGAAGGGGAGCTTCTGCGGACCCCCAGCCCCCACCCCCGATAAAAAACGCCCATGTTGTCCTTTTATAGATAGGTTTCAATAAATCACGCGCTCTCAAATGCACACACGTGCACGTATTCACGCTAGTACGCACGCACTTTTTGACACTAGAAATGTACCCCTATCCCCCTTTGGCTTCTGGGGGGGGGGGGGGAAGAGAACCAAGGAAAAGGCCCGGCGGTCTGTTTGATGATAATGATAATTTTGTCAGCTCTGCGCGTGTGCGGTTTTTCCTTCCCAGCGTTCAGACTTCCTATCCCACATTATTCATTGCCCGTGTTTGGATTTTCGGGTAGAAGAAAGAATTCATCTTTTCCATTATTACGCTCTTTGTGATTTAAAGTTATGATCAAAAACAAAGGGAATAGGTGCTTAAGAAGGTCTCTGGTTGCTAGGATTTGTCGACTTTTGGTTTTAATTAGCGATACGCTGTCAGCTGCTGTTTTAAAGTGTGGGAAATTTCCAAAACGTGGAATAAACGTGCCAGCTTTGAACACTTATTTACGCTATTTTGCAAAATAGGCCCTTCAAGGCACTGATTTGGGCATCATACAACGAAACTTTACATGGTCAGTTCAAAAAAAAAAACAGTTTTACACAGCTTATTCAGGAGACGCCTTACCTCCAATTTCTTAAATCCAAATTTGAAGTCCATGCATCACGGCAAGGACCGTAATAGTCTCTAATTTAAAGCACTTCAGAATTCGAGAAATCTTTCCTTTAATGAAACAATATTATGAAAGAGAAATCCTATCATTTGCTTAGAGCCTTTGAAAAAAGTCCAATTACAAGTAGGACTCTTCGCACAAAACCAAGGAGATTTAATGTTATGCTGCTTT